TTATCACAAATTTCTTCAATTGCAAGAAGTAGACAGTCATAATTGTTTAATATAGCCTTGACTGCTTCAGCTCTACATGCCCAACGTGTAGTAGAACATGATTTAATTGTCATCAGCTTAACATTAGTTTTTTGAGCAATTTTTATAAGAGTTGCATGTCGCATTGGGCTGCCTTCAATGAAGTTATAAATGAATTGAATGGTTCCAAAAAAGTTAAAAACTAATCTATTTTTTTTTATTTGCTTGGAAGTTGATTTTTCACATACCGAATCTACTAATGCTAGATTCAAGCAATKAGCATAACAGTGCACATATTTTATGCTTGAATTCTGTTCCTTACATTTGGCTTGAACACCACCTATACTGCCAGACATTGCCGATGCGCCATCAAAACACACAGCTAACACTGAAGTCCAACATTTTCCCATTTCTCTTATAGCATTATCAATTGAATTGAATATAGATTGTGCAGTAACAGATGTCATACACCTTAAAGCTACTAATGTTTCAATTGGTCTATTTTGCTCACCATCAAAATACCTAATAACGATAGACAGTTGTTCGGAATGTCCTACATCACTTGTTTCATCAGCTAATATTGATATATATGAATTTTCCATGTTACTTTTAATTTGTTTTAGAACAAYGTTRTGTGTAGATTTAATAATATCATTTTGAATGCGATTACTTCTGTATAATGAATTCCTTGCACCATGTTCAAAATGACACCGAAGAAGATTATCATATTTTGATAGTAAGTTCAAAAGTTCTCTAAAAAGTCCTTGGTTATTACTATTTTCACTTTCATCATGTCCTCGAAGAGGTCGACCACTCTTCACTAAACAAATTACAATATCAATCAGACGATACATAACTTTTCTATTTTCAAGGCGTTCTTCTTCTTTTTTACTGATAGCTGCTTGACGAGCCATATCAAGTTGACAATCAATTGATTTCAATGTTAAATAGTTGGATAAGGCAGTTGAACTATTTGTRTGGTTTTGAGAGTATTGATGCTTTTTAAATGCATCATTAGCACGGTACCAAGCTCTAAAACCAACTTTTGAAAAGGCTGCATCATAATGAGTACTATTTTTTTCATTGCCTCTGAAGCACCGACA